TTAACAGTAATCGTGGTCTGGTGGCACCTCCTCCAGAGCAGACACCTCAGCAGGAAGTTGGTCCCCCCAGAGGGCACCCCTGACTGCCTCCAAACTAGCCTCCCCCTCATCTTCTGCAGCATCATCCCCAGGTTCATCGTCCAGCACCACAGTGTCACCAGCACTGAGGCAGGTGTTGTGCAGAATGGTGCATGCTGTGATGACCTGGAATAGAGATAAAAAGTACATTTATATTTCATTCCAACACAAAGATCACACCCAAAGTTTATTTCCACTTTGTGTTAACTTACACGAGGTACAAAGGTGTGGTGCACCTCCAGCGCTTTCAGGAAGATGGCCTTCATCAATCCAAAAGCACGCTCTATGGTGCAGCGTGCCCTGGAACGATGGCTGTTGAAGCGCTGGGCTCCCACACCTTGAACCACTCGTTTGTAGGGGGTGATGAGGGGGGGGGGGGGGGGGGTGGATGTTGGAGGCATAGGTACCCTCCATCTGTGAGGATGAAGTGCCCTGGAGGAGGACAGGCTGACTGCCTGTACAGTGGGCTGTGCCGGAGGACCCTGGAGTCATGGACCGACCCAGGCCAGCCCACATAGGTGTCGATAAAGCGGCCCTGATGGTCACAAACTGCCTGCAGGACGATGGATGGAAACAGTTTCCTGTTTCGGTAGCACTGACCATCAGGACCGCTCGGAGCCTTGATCCGAATGTGGCAGCCGTCGATCGCACCTGCTGCTTTCAGGTAAGCTCTGTGGCGAGCCAGCCCAGCAAACCCACGACACGCAACCTCCATCTCCTCTGGGGTTTTGGGGAGGTGTATGACCTGGTGGAGAACTGCGACCACGTCCTCTGTGACTCGATGGACGATGTCGTGGACAGCTGAGCGAGGCATCCCAAACACTCTTGAGACCACCCTGTAGGATGTTCCACTTGCCAACTGGAACAGAAACACCCCAACCATGTCGCCGATCCTGGTTCAGGAGATTTAGCAACACCGCCAAAGACTCCCTGCTCAGACGAAAATCTGGTCTGGGATCCTCCTGGTTAAAAAAGCGGTCCAGGACTGGCACACTCAGATTAATCCTGCAGTACAGGGGTCTGTTCTGCTAAAAGAGACGTAGAGAACAATAAAAAACTGTATAAATGAATGAAAGTTTAGGAGAGAGCTAGGCATTAGTAGGCTCAAGTTGAAAAGGACAATAAACATTAAAAAGCTTTAAATGCTACTTTTACTATGAACTTTATGCACAGAAACAAGCATTAGGATCAAATAAATACTTCAAAATGTCATTTCATTAATTGTTTAAAATGTATACGGGTTAAATTAACTATATGCGTGTTAGTCTACTCTATACTAATTAGTACATTTAGCCACGGGTCTTTCTGGTGCTTAACGTATAAATGAAACTAGCTAAAGTTAGCATGTAATGCCTGAAATCTGGTTCACTAAACCAAAGATGATTTTACCTGGATGTGGCTGCTTCTCAGCCTGAAATAGGAAGACCGGCGACGGCGATGAAGTAGTTGTAGCTCCTCAAATAACAAATATAATGAGAAAAAACTCAGTAGTGGATGCATTTTCACTAGCTTGTTAGCTTGTTAGCCTGTTTGCCGCCGTCACAGTAGCTACATGGCTGGACCTGGGGCGGGGACAGAAACGAGGCTAGTACTGTCCGAATTTAGAGCCGCTGGCTTCCGAGTTTAGCGGCTGAACACGGACCCGACCTCACAAGCATCCTGGCCCTGGATTCACACACACCCTGCGACCTCAGATCTCTTAACCCTGCTTTTATTTTGACAGGGTACTTTATTTAACAGCATTCTGAAATTACATGTTAGCTAAACATTTGGTTTAAATGGTTACATACTTAATATTTTAACCTTTTTAGCCACAGCTGCCCTGGGGCGCTGGCAGAGGCGAGGCTGCCGTTCACAGGCGCCACCGGTCCCCCCGGCCACCCGCAGAGGGCGAGGTGGGTTAGGTGTCTTGCCCAAGGACACAACAGCCTTCTCTGTCCAGAGCCGGGATCAAACCTGCAACCTTCCGATACCTGGACAACCCGCTCTACCTCTTAAGCTACTGCTGCCCCACACGTAAATTTTGAGGTTTAATTTTCTTGTCTTTCTGAGGTGAAGTTTGAGCATGTATGAGGACGAGAGCAGCGGTTCTGGCTGTGCGTGTTCATGAGGCCGTAGATCTTAGAAAGGAGAACCTGCACTACTCAAGCCTCCCCTCTACGCTGGGAAAAGCCAGCTGATGAATCCGTTTAACAGCCTCGGAGCTAACACTGCTCTGCAGCCGGCTAACTGTTCTGATAACACGAGCGACCAAACACCACCCTGGAGATGGTCAGATGCAGAGAACAAATGTCACTCCCCAGTGTGACGACCAGTGGCACTTTAACTTTCGCACTGATAAAAACACAAGAAGTAGAAGTATGGAGGACTGTGAGCCTCTCAGCATTACTCTGTCCTTTGGTGGTCCATTTAACAAAATGTATTTTTAGCTATCAACTAGATTGCTTTGCCCTCAGTTCAGCGACACGTTCTCTAGACATTAGAAAATAGTTTGAGAAGTCCTCGGTGAAATAACAGCGAGCAAACCAATTAATCCCTCTGCCGGAAGTTCAAGGATTCTTTAGTCCCAGCACTGCCTGGTTTTGATGTGCTTCTCTCCTTCAGGGCTCAGAAAGCCTGAGCTGAGCCTCCAGTCTGCACCCAGACATGAAACAAGGTAGACCACCCACAGCACATGTACTGTCTGGTGCTGGGGGGGCTCTGAGACGGCTTACTCAGATGAACGGACTGAAATCCACTAACAGTCACAACAAATATACCAACTACCCCAAAAGCCCCTAAATCACTCCAATCTCTACCTTCTCAGTGGCCTGGTGTCTTCCCCGAGAATGAGAGGTTGTGGGTTCGAGTCCCGGTCAGGCCATACCAAAGACTTTAAAAATGGGACCCAGTGCCTCCCTGCTTGACTTTCAGCTCATTGGACCGGGGGTTGAACCACCAAGTGGTTGCCGAGCGCGGCCACAGCTGCAGCTCACTGCTGAGTAAGCTGAAGTCATTTCATTGGTGCGTGACGACGACCACAATCAGAAGGGTTTATTCCCACATCTGTGTAACAGATCAAAGGTCAAGTTTTCACCAGAAAATAACTTCATTTGCAGACACAAACACAGCATCTGTCTGGCCTCCAGACCAGAACAAGTGTACGACGGGCAACGAGCCAAAGCAGCCACAGCATTTTGAGCCAAGGTCTCATGCAGACACGCGACCCCAGCATGTCTCCCTCTGAGTAAAGTTCACCTTCCTTAAAGCTCCTACGTGACTCAACAACCTACAGCTAGAAACAATCAAATGTGTTGAATGAACAAGATGTTTAAATCAAACGTTTGAATAATCTGTGCTTTAATCACTGGAGTTTAAAATGAATATGTTTCCTACAGCGATCCGTTTCAGATCTTTTCCACACCGGATCAGTGTGTGTTTCATCTATCACCGCATACACATCACAAACAGTCACATCCCTGTATCTGAAGGGAGGAGTGACTTCTGAGGTATTTTTGGTAACGCTCTCAAACGTGTCAAATTCTGATTTGTCAAATTTAACAACAAAGTGATTCGATAAGGCAGGAATTACTTCCTGATCCAGTTCAGTTTCTAGCCGACTCCCAATTCGGCCAGATTGGTGGAAAAAGCATTTTGAAACCATCTTCTTCTTTTTCATCAAGTCAGAGCCTCTCTGCAGCGCTTGGTGATTTCAGACAAACGGCTCTTCCACGAGCCCACGAGCAGCCTTACAAGCAAACAGGCATTCCAGCTTCCTGCGCCACCTGGAGAGATCTCATGACCAGACGGGTCTTATCAGAGATAATCTACGGGTTTCGGTAACAGAGGTCCGCGCCATCGGCAGCGTCCAGTTTGACCTGCTGACCCCCTGGATCTGAAGGGGATCTCCACACAAGGGTCTCAACACCTCGGCGTCGGACGGTTTTATAAACAAATCTCTAGTTCACCAAACAGCTGATTTTACCACCCTAACCCACAAACTCTCTCAGATAGCTACGAAAGGTTCTGCTAAAACATCTAGCTTCCATTCCATCATTCATACCTTGTCTCGTGTAATCATTAGTTTAGGGAAGTAGAAATAAATTCAGTTTTATAAACTAAACTTGACTCCGTCTGAATTAATGTGAAGTGTGTTTATGGTCCCTGAATAAGTAAAACTAGAATGTTCTGATGAAACATTCAGATCAATCAGATTTTATGGACCTATCACATCTTGTTGGTCATTTGTTACAGAGGTTAGGGTTACATGTAACACTGCTTCTGCAGGTGAGTAAACACAGGAAGTGTGAATGTAATCATGATAAAGTACAAAGTGGTGATACTTAGAGAAGCAGCTGCTGTATAAGAGACAGCGTAGGTACTGCCTGCACCAGTGGTGCAGGGGGCTGCATGGTGGTGCAGTGGTTAGCACTGTTGCCTCGCAGCACGAAGGTTGCAGGTTCGAAACTCGGCTGCGGCCTTTCTGCGTGGAGTTGCGTGTTCTCCCCATGCATGCGTGGGTTTCCTCCGGGTACTCCGGTTTCCCCCACAGATCACAACATGCCCTATAGGTTATAAACTGTAAGCTGCTTTGGATAAAAGCGTCTGCTAAACAAATAAACAAACATAAATAAACATAAACATAAATAAACATACTGATCAGAGCGGGTCAGTTCAGGTACAAACACAACACCGGGTCATGTGACTACAACCAGGTGACTGGAGTGGGCAGCACTAGGATTGTCGTTCATGAGTCCAACAGCAGAAGGGAAGAAACTGTTCTTGTGGTGAGAGGTTCTGGTCCGAATGGATCTGAGTCTCCTGCCAAATTTAAGCGAGTCAGAGAGACGGGTCAGCTGTTATCCGACCTGCATGCCTCAGTGACCTGGAGGTGTACAGGTCCTGTATGGAGGGGAGTTAGCAGCCAATGACCTTCTCAGCAGAGCGTGCAACACGCTGCAGCTTCTTCTTGTCCCTGGTGGTAGCTCCAGCGTACCACACGGTGATGGAGGAGGTGAGGATGACTCGATGACTGCGGTGTAGAACCGCCTCACTGACTGTGCTGATAGGTTGAATTTCTTCAGCTGCATCAGGAAGTTCATCCTCTGCTGGGCTTTTTATGATGGAGGTGATGGTGGGCTCCCACTGGAGGTCCTGGGTGATGGAGGTGCCCAGGAAGTTACGTGAGTCCACCATCGTGGACCCGCTACATTACGTGTTAATGACAGTGTTCCTTTTCTGGTTACGAGCACACCTCCGCAAGCTAACGTCCTGACCGAGGCGGCTGTCAGCATGTTGCTCACCAGACTCCTGCCCATGGTTGGTATCAAGGTTTCAGAGATGATCAAGCAGGTTACCATGACAACTATCTACCAAGCTGACCCCACCTCACCACCATGATGAAGAAGAAGAATTAAACAACTTTTAAGGTGTGTGTGTGTGTGTGTGTGCGTGTGGGTGGGTGTGCGTGTGCGTGCGCGTGCACGTGTGTGTGTGCATGCGTGCGTGCGTGTGTGTGTGTGTGTGTGCGTGCGTGCGTGCGTGTGTGTGTGTGCGTGTGTGTGTGTGTGTGTGTGTGTGTGTGTGTGTGTGTGTGTGTGTGTGTGTGTGTGTGTGTGTCGTAGCTTTCACAAACTACTTGTTTATTCTTTACCGGAGTTAACACGGTTCGTGCTGCGGCAGTCATGCTAACGGGACTCGCCTGCTGGAGTCCAGAAGTACCGGTGCGGTTCTAGATGGATTTGTAGATGTAGGTTATTATTTTAGATCAAACCTATGTTAGTTAAAAATACGCGTAGGACATGGACATGGCTCAGACCTTTAGCTGCAGCTGTTAACGCATTTTTCTGTTTTAATTAGGAACACAATAGTAAAGAAAATACAGTGATGTCCCATGCTAGCAACAGCAGCTACCTAGTATGACGTGTGTGAGTGATGTATGCAAAACACGGTTCTTCGTTGCCTGGAGGAGAGAATTTTGATTTTCTGTAATGATTTATGACTAAATTCCTTAAAATGAAAAACTGAATCCAGTTCATATTTATATAGATGGTAAAGTGTAGTTATACTGATGTAACAGAATGAAATGACTGTTTTCCACCTAAAAGTCATTTCCCCCTCTCCTCAGCAAGAACGAGTCTGCTTGAGATATTGTTCAAGGTCTCATGCATCTGCTTCTGAACTGTTTTCCTTTCCAGCTCAAGAGAAGAATGAAGAAAGGACTTTCTCCTTTTAATAAATCACAGAACTCTGTTTTTAATAAGCTAATCAAGCAAAGTGTTAGTCAATAATAAGATGTGACCAATCTGTGAAATGAAAATATTAATTACTTTATTAAAATCCTATAGAATATAATAAGTAATATAACTTTAAATGTTTCCACTAGGACTGATCTCACGTAGCGTTAAGACAAGACACATTACTTTTATTGATCCAATCAGAATCTAACAGATCTGACGGAGGCGTGGTTTTGGTGGTGTTTGGTAAATCTGTCAACTTTTCATTCAACCATAAACCAAAACATCCGAAGTATAAAACTATGCCCACGCCATCTTTAACGCCAGTTCAAAGCGTTCTAGAGAAGTTGTCGGAGTGGCCAATCCGTAACTTTCCTCTTCAGCCCAAAGAACCAACGACAAGCTGGATAAAATCTGTTGCTGTTCCAACCAAGCAATGGTTCCTTTCAGAATAAAAGCTGAACCATCACAACCCGTTTTGGGATCTTGTTAGATGCCAACAAACTGTCGTGACCCGGAAGTATCTCAAAGACTGGACTGGTCGGCTGCTGCGGCAGTTCTACAGGCTTCGGCTCCAGAAAGGTCCAAGCTGGACTTCTACACCTCCTGACCTAGACGGGGACTTCCGCCAAGGGTACGTAGACCGACAGAATGGCGTCTCAACGTGTGTTTAGGGTTAGGAATCTCCAAGCCAAAAGCTTAGTGGAAGACATCACCTTCACTCCCACCAGAACTAATTGTTTCTCCGGATTTGCTGGTTCTGAACAACATTCCACACTACACCATTCTCCGTCTCATTCACCTTAGTTACACCATACATTTAGTGTTCAAGTTAGTCTAGTTTTAATTTGTTTAGTAATAAATCTTTAAACTTTCAAACTTGACTCTCTTTCTTTTGTCTCTAAGTTAATACGAAGTGTTACATAATCCCTGCAATAAAAAGTTCCAATCTTCTGGTTAAAAGTACCCACAGATCCATAAGGTTGATTTCATATTTACTATGGAATCCCATGTCTCATGGTTCATTAGATAACATGTAAATTTAATTCTTACAGGTGTATTTCTACTATTTGAATGCTGATTCTGGCCACTACCTTTAAATCAGAACTTAGATTAAAACTAGAACCATGTCCTCCTGCTGCAAACCCAATACACATGAATGGAAATGTGATATCATTTGTCCTAAGAATAATTCAGGTATGTGAGTGTTCATTATGGACCGTAAGGATGTCTGGAATATAAAAATGTACTTGGAGCACCAGACTCATATATATGTGGAACATACATCCAATCTGCCTGATAAATGTTGCTCAGGTTGTTTTAAGGGTTTGGGTTCGTCCCAGAAGTTAGATCCTGAACCGTCTACAGGTGGTTCAGAACGCCTGTGCTCGGCTTCTGACCAAGTCCTCCAAACACACCCACATCACCCCGCTTCTCCTCCAGCTTCACTGGCTGCCAGTCAACTTCAGGGTTCATTTCAAGATCCTGGTTCTGGTCTATAGGGCCTTACATGGACAAGCACCATCTTACATTGGTGATCTTCTTAGTCCCTACACCCCCAGCAGGTCCCTGAGGTCCAGTGATCAAAGCCTACTGGTTGTGCAGCACCAGGCTAAAGGTCAAAGGTGACAGATCATTTGCTGCTGTGGCCCCCAGACTCTGGACCTCTCTCCCCCTGAGCCTATTCTGTCTCGGGATCCTGTGATTGCCGTTTTCTTTTTCATTTATTTTCTTCACATTTTTTTATCTAAATGTTTTTTGTTTTCCCATTTTTTAATATGATAGTTTTCAATCATTTCTTATTTTTTATTTTTGTTCTTGTGAAGTGTTTTGGGATTTTTCCCTTGTGAGGTTAGGGTTAGGGATCATTCATCTGCAGTCAGCTTGCTCTCTACTGATTGTATTTCTCCTAAACTTCCTTCCATCACCATCCTTCTCACAGATGTGTAAAGACGTTTTAGATTTTTTGACATTTTTTGGCAACTATGATATAAAATTCTGTCGGCTGACAGACAAGTAAGGTTCAAAGAAAGAAAACGAATCAGTGTGCAGATAATGAAGACCTCTGTTTGTGTTTCAGGGACATTTCTAATCGACATCACCTGAATAGACACCCACCAATCCAAAAGCCTACAAATCTTTTGATCATCAGACACATAGTGCACTCACTCAGGATTCACATGCATAACCCACCTTAGTGTAAACTCCCCATGACAGTTCCGTTTCTGTCACCATGACGACAATCCCAAACATCCCAAAGATGAGTGCATAATCACTGAGACGCTTTCGCTTCTCAAACAGCGCCCTCCGGTGACCGAGCTTGTAGCCAATGTCCCTGTTCTTCTTCTGGGGAGCCCTGCCCCCGCTTCGTCCGCCACCCTCCCTGACCAAGCTTTCGTTAGATGCCTTACTGGGGTCTTCCCCGGGATTGCCCTTGGACACAACCACCTCCAGGCCAGAGCTGTGCAGCGTCTGCAAGGGTTGCGTCTCCGAGTCAAGTTCAGCGAGGTTGCGGCGTGACGAGGATGCCAGGCTGCCCACTAGTGGTCTCACCACTCCACCATTGTACTTGCAGGTGTTCATGGCTATCTGAGGGAGTCGGCGACTGCTCTCGGAGAGGGAGGGCTTGGATCCAGCATGGCTCAGCTTCTTCTGCTCAGTAGTGGCCTAGAATGACAAAAAATAAGTATAATAATAAATACCGCAGAACAGAAAGGGAGTTAGAGCAAATATTGGGTTGGAAAAACCCCTCATAGGTTCATTCTATGAAAAGGAAAGTGACGCAGGAGTTTCATCTGGATCCAAAGCAGGTGGAAGAAAAGCAACCATGCATCACAGCTTATGCCAAAAGGTGAATCCCTGGGACTGTCAAGCATGTTTCTTCTGAGTTGGGGTTAGGGTTACCTAACCTGAATCTGAATATGTACACAGTGTCCATAAAAAGACCCAGGGTCCTTCTGTGTTTTCAGAGGAAGGCAGGACGTCACAAACGCTCAGCTTTTCCTTTAACAGACTGGCATCAAAACAGGACCTCTCAAAAACAACTGCATTATGGATGAAGTTAGATGTATAAATAAAACCAGGAATGAACCCTACAAAGAGCAGAAAATTGGATCGTTGATCTGCACAAATTCAGATAGAAATAATTCATGCTCACCATGACCCTGTTTCACAAGCACTCTCTTCCTGCAGTGGACTACGATCCGAGAGAACAGACGAAGCACAAGCCTTCCTCTGTTGAGCTTAGACTCAAAACACCAAGAGAAAAAATTCTATATTCTGTGCTCAAAGTGTCACAAACTAATTAGCTAATGAGTCAAAAACACAAGTGCAGAAAGGTCTGTACATAAGAACAGAATTTTGGAAAACCAGGTGAGATGGCCAAGCACCTTCAGAGTTCTGTAGCTCCGGTAGACATTCAAGCTGAAACATGAGAGTTAAGGCCCAATCCCAATACTCGCCTTGCAAACTTCAGCAAAGTGCACTTGGAGAAAGGGCACAGCAAGGCGTGGTACACAGTGTGATGTTCACAGATATTTTATTTTGAAAGTTTGAGAGTAGGAAGCAGAGGAAAAAACAACCCGGAAGGGAGCGCCAGAGAAAGAGGAAAAAGGAGGTTTTTTGTTTCATGGCTAAGCGACTGAACAAACTTAAGAAGCTCACAAGGTGTCGTCCTTTACTGAGATTAAGGTACGGGAGAAAACTTTACACACAGATGTGCAAATAATTGCCAACTGAGACAGGGAGCATTGGGTAATCGTGATATTGATCTAGTATGGTTATATATTGGGGAAAACAGATATATGTACCGTATATTTAATTAAGAAGAGATTGAAATAATTATTAAACACTCAAACGTATCAACAATTGGTACTGTTAAGTATCGGTATCAATTCGTTGGTACCGGGGAAATGGTACTGTATCAACTCAAATATCAAAGGCACCCATCCCTGATTTTTATGCATGACTATGTGATTTCATATCTTTGATCAATTTCAGACAATTACAGATTAGGGTTTACGAGTTTTGGATACTTTTCAACAGAATGTTCAAATGAGTGCTGATGATGTCACACATAGTCACAAAAATCTCGTTTGACTACCACAACACTTTTAGTATAAGTACAAACTGAACACACACACTTTGTCTACTTTTAAGACCAGGCTAAAACATTTTTATTTGATAGGGCCTATGGTTAAAACCTGATGTTAGCCTAGATCTGGACAAGTGGGGGAGTAGAGGGAGGTGGAGTGTACAGTCGGTAAAGACGGCTCTCCCTTGCCCTGACTCCAACATGCCTCCATCTAAATAGGATAGATTATCCAGAGTTATCTCTGTAGTTATGCTGCTATAGGCTTAGACTGCTGGAGGACACACTGACCACTGTCCACACTCTACTGCTTTCTTCTACTATCTGCTCTTTAACTGTACTATTTCCTGCTATTTCAGCTGTTAACTTTATTTTCTCTCTAAGTGTTTTTCTCCCCAGAAGAAGCTACAACGATGTTCTGCTGAGCTGTGGTGGTCTCATGGAGGGGGCCATCGACTAGCACACTGCTGCTAACCACTTAAACATTCTCCCTCTCCTGATAATGACTTTTTACTCTCTTTGACGTTGGATCAGAATCAGAATCAGAACAGGTTTATTGCCATTGTCAGTGAACAAACAATTCACAAACTAGGAACTTGCTTCGGTACTAATGTGCTACATATAACACTAATAATAAGATTGAAAATAGAATAAAATATAATAAAAAAAACTAGAATAAAACTTTCAGCTATAAAAAATGGCAGGTAATGCTAACATGGCCGTGTAGTGAAATATAGATCGTATATTTATACACTGTAATTAGATCCAGATATTATAATCAGAAGTGGTTGTTTTTATCATCAGGGAGTTTACTTAAACACTCTGTATTGACTGAGAGACAAGAAAAGAGAGAGTTGGGATCGTTTAAGAATCTTTAATTTCTATAATTAAGAATTCTTACAATCTACCAGGACTACTCCGTGATGGATGCATATGGATTTGAATGTTATCGTGTTGGTGTGTGTGTGTGTGTGTGTGTGTGTGTGGGTGTCCAGAATCTCTAGGCTGACGTAGCGGATCTGGTTGTCATGACTACAAATCACGAGGCTTCAGAAGCTGATGACATGAGCAGCCATTTTGCCGTAACCACGTACCGTCTGGAGCCTCCCGTGTTAGATCAGGAAATGCCAGGTCCCCGGACCTTCAGGTGTACTGGAGCTGGTGAAGCAGCGGTCGCAGCACGACAAAGCCCGTCTGCGGGTCGACTCCCGGTATCAGTGGCAGGCGTCAGCGAGTTAGCTCTTATTTTGAAGGAACGTCGTCTTGTTGTTCAAACGACGGAAATCTCCAGCTTGACAGTTCTCAGCTTAAAGTAGGAAAGTGCATCTGGCCAGTCTGCAACTTTCTTAATGATGACGATGGAAATCCTTAGGACCTCCGATCGAACAGAACTGAGTTTAAAATGGCGTTGCCTTGTTTTATATCCCCTAGTTGTTTATAAATCTTAGTAATCTTGGACAACTTCGTTAAACAACCCAGATTCTGCCCTACGACAGACAAAAGTTCTGATTGGCTGAGAACAATGTGTCATGCGTTTCCATGGTAATGTAGATCAGTCTGTCTGGTGCAGTCCTGTTTATTAAAGAGCAAGTCACCCCCTACAAGAAGCGTACTCCACTCCCACTTCATGTTTGAAAAATGCAACAAATGCTGTTGCCTAGCAGACCGAGAGGGTGGAGCCACTAACAAATACACACACGCACGACATTGTGACATCATAATGTACCAGTTTACATCATAGCATACCTCTTAGCCAATAGCGGTGGCAGATTTAAATTCAAATGCAGTGAAGAGTTTTTACCTGACAACGGCACAACACTGACAGTTTAAGGCAGAAAATTTAAATTTTAACTAAAATTCACTAAAGTGCAAAACTATTGACTACACGTGTCTGCAGCACGATTAGACACGCATTTATATAGTTTATCAGAAAAAATAGTTGATTTGGGGGTGACTTCGCTCTTTAATTAAACACATAACTCATGACATCTTTATTTCACAGATCAGTCACCTGATTAATATTGATCAACATATGCTCTGATTAGCTTTATCACAAATAAAGTACTTTGATTACTTAATGGAAAGCGTTCTTCTTCTCTTCTTCTGGCTCTTCTCCTGGAATGTAAACAATCAGACACCAGCACCCGACCTTGGTGATTCTTACACGTTGTTACTGTGTAAAGGGGCAGCTGTTAAGGGCAGACAATTATAATATTCATAACGCTACAGCCGATAACGTGACGTTGTGTCGAGTACAGAAGACCAGCATGGTTGTGTGTTTATAAGCTGTTCACAAGTCTAACGGCAGATGGAAAGAAGCTGTTCTTATGGCGGGAGGTTCTGGTCCGGATGGACCGTAACCTCCTGCCTGAGGGAAGCGGCTCAAAAAGTCTGTGACCCGGGTGCGAAGGGTCAGCTGCTATCCGACCTGCACACCCCCGAGTTCTGGAGACGTACAGGTCCCGGAGAGATGGAAGGCTGCAGCCAATCACCTTCTCAGCAGAGCGCACAATGCGCTGCAGTCTATGTTTGTCCCTCACTGTGGCTCCAGCGTACCACACAGCGATGGGGGAGGTGAGGATGGACTCAATGATGGCCTTGTAAAACTGCACCATCATCTGGGTCGGCAGCTTGGCCTTTTTCAACTGCTGCAGAAAGTACATCCTCTGCTGGGCCTTTTTGAGCAGGGAGCTGATGGATGGCTCCCACCTAAGGTCATGTGTGATGGTGGTTCCGAGGAAGCGGAAGGAGTCCACAGTGGTGACGGGGGTGTCCGTCAGGACGAGGGGGAGAGATGGGGCTGTGACTTTCCTGAAGTCCACAATCATCTCCACTGTCTTCTGAGCATTGAGCTCCAGGTTGTTGCTGCTGCACCAGTACACCAGCCGTTCCACCTCCCTCCTGTAGGCGGACTCATCACCGTCAGAGATGAGCCCGATGAGGGTGGTGTCGTCCGCAAACTTGATCAGTTTAACGGAGTCATGGCTCGAGGTGCAGCAGTTTGTGTACAGGGAGAAGAGCAGAGGAGAAAGTACACCGCCCTGTGGAGATCCTGTGCTAATATTCTTAGTGGTGGAAACATTCTTCCCCAGCCGCACGCACTGCCTACGGTCCGTCAGGAAGTCAGTGATCCACCTGCAGGTGGAGTTGGGTACGTTGAGCATGGAGAGCTTGTCCTGGAGCAGAGCAGGGAGGATGGTGTTGAACGCAGAGCTGAAGTCCACAAACAGGATCCTAGCGTAGGTTCCCGGGGAGTCCAGGTGCTGCAGGATGAAGTGGAGGGCCAGGTTGATGGTGTCGTCTACAGACGTATTGGCTCTGTATGCAAACTGCAGAGGGTCCAGGAGGGGGGAGGTGAAGGGCTTGAGATGAGGGAGGACCAGGCGCTCAAAAGACTTCCTGACTACAGACGTCAGCGCCACAGGCCTGTAATCATTCAGTCCAGTGATACGGGGTTTCTTAGGGACAGGGACAATGGTGGACAGCTTAAAGCAGGCTGGAACATGGCAGGTCTCCAGGGAGATGGTAAAGATGTCCGTGAAGATTGGAGACAATACCTCTGCGCAGTGTCTCAGGG